TATCGAGAAACGGAAGAGAATTGCAAGTCTCAAGTTCAAAAGTGAACTGAATAGCAGGTCAATAGAATTCATTGTTGAAAGAACTTTATTTAAAATCTTTATTACCTTCAACCAGTAAAAAGTAGTTACGTAGCGGAAAACCATGCCGGGAAGTTTAAAGTTTCAAAACAATTTGATTCATAATAATGCATGTAGATATCAGCCAGGAGGGACTGAGGGCTTCCCATGGCTAATCCCTCAGTTTGCTTGTAATATTATTTTGGAAAACAAAGGGTGTTTGTTTCAAAACAGAGTTGAGTGAGAAATTAGCTCATCAATTCGATGCAAGAGAAATGAAATTCGCGAAGTCTGGTTTCTAGACATCTTAATGCACCCTCCACTGGGACACTGGTGAATATGTACATCAAAGAAACCCTGAGTAAATTACTAGGAGAAATGTTTTAACTTTTTACAAACTATTGATTTTTATGGTGTAATGTTATTGTCTAAAGAGTTGAAAATCTAGAACTAAAATATTTAGCTAATGGATACGAGGCAGTACCTAAATTTGATAAATAGGGCGGAAAGGAATACCACTTTTATGAATTTTGGGAAGAGCATATATCTGGCAAATTCGCAAACGGATGGGATAAGTGAATGTTTTAAGTTGCCTAAAATGATTTGCGAAGATTTGATCGCAGTTTTATTTTGACAACGAAGGTGAAGGATCTTTAGATGGATTATATGGTCCTTCGTTTAAGAGTTTGTGAACCACGATGTAAGTGTTCCTATCCCATGACGACTATCTGGACCTTGTCGTCCTTTGAATATAATATCCGGGATAGAATGAATTTCACGCAATGTAGCTCTTTCTCTCGCAGGATTTGGTTTCAAAGGTTTATTATTGAATTTCACATATGAGCGATAAGATGCCTAATGATGAGCTAATTTTCTCACTCAACTTTGTTTGAAACAAACACATTTTATTTTCCAAAATAAATATACAAGCAAACTGAGGGATTAGCCATCAGTCCCATCCTGGCTGATATCTACATGCATTATTAGAATCAAAATTGTTTGAAAACTTTAAAACTTCCCGGCATGGTTCCGCTACGTAGACGATACTTTTACTCTGTTTGAAGGTAATAAAGATGATTTAAATAAGTTCTTTCAACAATGAATTCTATTGATTCTCTATTCAGTTCACTTTTGAACTTGAGACTTGCAATTCTCTTCCGTTTCTCGACAATTCTGGTCACACGTAACACATCCAACTTCAGTACTACGGTTTAACGTAAAATATCATCGGTTTGCCTTCCACCACACTTTAAATCATGTCATCCGACTAAAAACAAAAGTTAGCTTCATTTTATTCCTATGTTTTCCCGTGCTCTTCAGTTTGCTCCTCCAAAACTAGCCCTTGATGAAGAACTAAAGTATTTAAAAGCAATAGCTATTGACAGGGGTTTTCACCCAAACATTATTAATCAAGCAGTTAAAAAAATTCTCATCTCAACACCTAAAGTCACACTCTTGTTTTAGGAGATTATAAAAATTCTGTTTTCATTCCCTTCTTTCCATCAATTAGCTATAAAGTTGCACATATTTTTCAGAAATTTAACTTTCGGGTTGTTTATTCTCCCATCAATAAAATTCCGAGTTCCATACTCAAGGACCCCATTCCGGATATGAATTCCTGGGGTATTTGTAGGATTCCTTGCCATTGTTGTTTAATTTACATTGGTCAAACTAAGAGAGCCTTAAAATTTCGCGTCAAAGAACATGAGCATATGTTAGAAAAAAGGAAACACAGAAGTCTTCTGTTGCTCAACATTGTTGGTCCGAAAATCACACTTTCAATTTTCTGCTTGCCAAAATTATTCAAAAAAACATCTTCCATTGGAGAACTGGATTTCTAGAGGCATTTCACATTCATAAAAATCTTTCTGTTCTAGTTAACGATCCTAATTCCAATCCAAATTTGCCTTCGGCTTTTAGAGAAATATGTTTTAGTTCTGGTTTCGCCAAACAGATGGCGCCCTTGCTATTCTTGTCCAGGCTTTTCTTATCTTATCTAATCATTATTTCCTATCTTGTTCATTTGCGGTTTTGCAGCTGAAGATGATGGTTCGGTTAAAACCATCGAAAACTAGTCCTGTGAAAATTTTGTGAATATAACGCTGATTTTTGTTGTTTGACTTCTGAATTAGTATTTATTCGGCGTGTTATTGTGTCTTAATTTATAGTTGTTTAAGTGCCGCTAAGCCTAATAATGTTTTTGATGGAGGCCATTGTTTGTTTACATTTGAAATAGCAGAGTAGTGGATTTGTTGCCAATCTAGAAAAACATAGCTTCGCAACAACAAAAATAATGCCTTCATTTATTATTGCGAATTAAATCATGCTTAATCCTTTCTGGAATTTTTTCGAGGAAATAAGTGGAGAAAGAACTTCATAATTTTTAATACAGATATTTTGAGTTTTTATTTTTTGCCTTGTTGCGAAGTGGGAACTGGGAATCAATTAGTGCTGTCAGCACTATCCTTTTCTCCAGGGCAGATGTTTTTATTTTATTTGGCCTATAATTCCTTACTAAATGCAGTATTTCATCTCAATGTATTCCTTTAAGATGATTTAAATCAAATTCCTCGTCATTATAATTCGCTTCGAATAGTGAAGAAAGTGACACAGAGGTTATTAAAAACGAAAAAATTTCGATGGACAAAGTAGTCGGTATTCTCGACACAAGCAATTATAGGACTTGAAACAGCGGAACTTGTAACTTAAACAAGAAATTATGTTGTTTAATAGAATTAAAGAGAAAGTATTATCACATGAAACGAAGCAACTTACATTGAAAGAAATGTTGGTTGATCTTTACATTATGGTAACTTGGCGATTTTTTGGCAACCAACTCTCCTACAGCAACCCTCTATTTTTTTTTTTTCCCCGCCGCCATTTTGTCTTCACGAAAAAGTAAAGACATGTTTCTTTTCTTTTATCTACTGAACACTTCTTCCAACAATCTACTAGCCGAAATTACACTTATGTTAGAAATTTTATCAAACAAAACTGCTTAATCATGACAAATATTCACTGCAAAAATGGGAAAAAAGTACTATACTCCTTACGCATTTTTCAAAATAACACATACACATAAAACCATGTACACGCCGACTTATTTTACTTAAAAAAAAATCCCAGAATTGCACAAAAATGGCATTGCGCGCAACTCTTCACTATATCCATGTACACTGCTTTTTTCTCATAAATTAGAAAAAATTTCACGAAAATACATGACAATTTTCTCAATCTTTAAACCCCGGTTAAAAAGAAAACATATATGAAATTACCTGATCGCGAAAAAAGTATTACCTTTACAAATATGAACATTTCCACATATAAAATAAATAAAATATCCAAAAAACTTACCTCTAACTCATCTATTACATTATACACGTCACCAACGAATTCATACCACAAGCATTACAAATACTTAGTATCAGATACTTAAATTATTTCCATGCAGTTTACTTCAACTTAAACGTATACCAATTCCTACAAACATAAAATTCACAAGAAACTATCATTTCATTAAAATATAATTAAATTCAAAAAAACACTACTTAAAAATAAATGAGCCACATACATTAAATTAATAAAAATTACCTTACAATCCTAATTACTTTAAACTAAATCATTGCTAAAAACAATTTTTCCCAATAATACCAAATTCCTTTCCTCCTTACATTTAGAACAATGCATAAAAATAAATCCTCAAATAATTAAAAATACTAACTTACCTAATCTTCTTCAGAATCTTGATTACGTGGCGGATACACTTTTTTAATTCATTAAATAAAATTATTGAAAGATTTTTTTCTGCAAATTTTTCCTCCATACTTCCTCTCCGCTAAATAAAAAAGCAAACTTCTCTTATCACAATGCCTAAATACCATTTCGAATTCACTTTAGTTAGAGCCATGGGATCCAAAAATTAATCAACACTGTTTCACACAACACAGAATAAAGCTAAATACAAAATTTCCAGATTTTTCCCGATTTCCCCCCTATTTCGATTAAAGAACCGTAATTCGTCCATTAATATCACGACATATCCCATGATCTCTCATTTCCCTCATGCAAAATAATGCGTAATCGGAACTGAGTACTGCTCACATTATTACCAAAGTCCCAGGTAGTAACCTTTATCGCCTCCAAAATGTCGCCAAACTACCAGTTACCATATTGTAAAGATCAACCGAAATGTTTAATAAAGTAAACAAATAAATATTAAGCTTTTTCTTTTTGTAAATTTTGATACCCTTTAGATCATAATTGTTCTTTATTTCATAAATTACGGTTTCATATTTTTAATTTTATAATTTCTGCATGCCATCTTACCAGATTTAAAGTGATGATCTATAATCCGGAAAAATCGATAATCTGGAATCGCCGAAGTCCCGACGAGTCCGGATTAATGACTTTTGTTTGTGAATACCAAAAAATATTTATTACATTTTTATTTTGTATTTTAGTTATGTATCTGAAAAATTGATCAATAAAACTTGTTTGCCAGCTGGTTTTGTTTCTTTTGTTCATGTGGTAACTTTAAGAATAGATTCAAAGCAGTTGTTTTCTTTAGTAATTTTCTGGTAAAATACTGTATTCATGCATAAATTTTACTTGTACAGACATGTATTATTGGGCATTACGTGCATTGCAAGAATATCCCACAAATGCATATTTTAAAATTTAATTTAAGATAAAAAAATATTACAATTTCTTAAATCTGAAGAATTGTTATGCACATGTTTGCCAGACTCATGACCCATTCTGAAATTTTGGCAACTTCTACTAAGATGGTTGTCCTACTGAATAGTCAGTGAGGTTTTTCTGTTATAAAATATTTACACTCCATTTATTAACCAGTACTCGCTGTTAAATCATAAATAGTTTTAGATATTCCAAAATATTGAAATGCATAACTAATAACCATAATATCTATTTCTTCTGTTTAGTTATCTGGGCGAGCTAAGCAACATGTGAAGGAAAGGCAGCGTTTAGTAAATGCTTTGTCATCTGGAGTCAGCAGCGAAGGCATAACAATATTTTGTGCTATAACAAAAACGTAAGGAAATGAACATATTTCACTTTTCATTTAACATCAGAAATTCATTGATATTTAACAGAAGTGTATTCTACTGATTTCATGCAGTGTACGGAAAGGAAAATTGAGTGTGAATATAAATTCAAAATAAAAGTTTTATCTGTAGCGTATAGCTTTAATAATGTATCTCAAAATACACAATAATGTAAACTAATAACTGTAGTTTCCAGTTAGTCGGAAATTCTCGAGTATTTTACTTTACATTAGTGCCAGTTCAGTTTGGTCAAAAGTTGATAAGCTATACCCAATCTGATAGATAACTAAGTACTGTATATGTTATTGTTTGACCTCTAATAATAAAAAGAGAAGTGTGAATAATTGTTTTCTAGTTGTTAACTTTATTTTCTGCAATATTAATGAGATATTTTATGAAGTGATTTCTCTTGAGAGAGGGGAACCTGTTATTAATTTTGATATTCGTGTATTTTAAACCATAAATCACAATAGGAATTTTTGGAGATGGGATTATTTTAATGCTAATTATTGCAAAATTACTGTAAAACGATTTTGTTGAAGGAAAGTTCATTGAAAACTTGATGATGGAGGCCGATTCATACTCTTATTTCTCTATATCTTTGGATAATACTGAATGTGTGCAAGTTGTATGGTTTATATTGTCTGTTGGGTGGTCTGTTGTCAATACTTGCAATTTGTTGGCTAATTGAGTTACACCCTTTTGCATGTGCATATTTAAGTTTAGGAAAATTTTATGAAACTTGAAACAAGAGGGTGGTTTTAATGTTTACCACATATAATTATTTGTTTTTTTCCTTTGGAATTAATAGAATTTGTTGATGTAATCTCGGTTAATTATGATAATTTATTGTTTATATGTTACATAAGTTTTATTATTTTTTTATATTCAGATCATGATTAATAACAACTTTTTTGGGGTGAAGGGATACTTTTAGTATATTTCATTTTTAGGCATATTCATGTATGTTCTGTTTCTAAGCATGTTCGTGTACGTTTGTGTTTACAGCACTGCACGTGTACGTTAATGCACATATACCTGCATTACCAATGCTCAAAATGTGAAAACTAGTTTTGCATATGATGCAGTATGTCTGTAAAATGCCAATACTAGTTTCACTGACCAAATTGTTACTTGTATTGTTATTTTTAATTATACATTTTTTGTTCATAATGGGCATAATTACTTTCATGTACATTGTGATTAAATGTACATAGGGATTGATAAGTGCCTTTTAGTGACAGTGTTTGTATTATGCCTGTAACATTTTTACCCTGGTTGTATCAGTGGTTCATTTCTAAAATATGAACAAAGTATCATTTTTTGAATACAGCACTATGTGGCTCTGTAAGCCACATATGCTCCCTGAGCCACATGGTGCTTCCAGGTACTGCAGTCCACACTTTCAGAACCAGTGTTTTAAAGTGCTATTAGGTGCTTGTCATAATATTGTAACAGTGCTGTTTGGCTAGTTAAATAATGATGGTGTGACGTTTTCTTTGCTTGATTTGCTCATGCTACAGCTCGGGCAATATGTTGTCTTTTGGCATTAGTTATTATGAATAATATGCTAAATTATGTATTTATTTGTATGAAATGTTTTATCATATAGGTGTGCCATCATAAATAAATATTGTAGCCTTCCTTGAACCCTGTAAAAATCATCTATGTAGTCCATTTGCAAAGTTCAATTTCCACTAGTGTGACGCTAGAAGGTGGAATGCATTTAGGCAGAATTAGAGTGGTCTTGTCTTCAAAACAAGTTTTGTTTTTATGAGATGCATATAATGAGAGTAATGCAGCATTAATTAAATGTTCCCAATAGATCAAGATACGTTTTCAGAATGACCATTACGGCATGCATTGATAAAAAAAAGTGTTGTAATCAGCAGCTAATTATTGGAATATTGGGTGAAGAGCTAAATACAGGGAAAATTACTTGATCTGATTTTAATCAAGAAAATGGAAATGGGAAAATTATGAGCAAGGACCATCCCAAAATATTTAATTTTTGAATAAAAGCTGAAAGAGAGGATAACTGTATAAAATTTTCCCACACCACAATTTAAAAAATAACATAATAAATTATGTGTGCATTATTTTTTTTTTTTTTACTTTTATGGACTTAAGCATTATAAAATTTTCCCAGAAAGGGCATTCTGTAGTTTCAGCTTATTACTTGTGAATATCCTAAGATATAATGCAAAATTGTTATGTATAGTTGTAAAGAAGCAAATTGATTTAACATCATAGGAAAGCCCCCATCACTTAGAGCGGTAGTTTATTGTTAATTTTGAGGCATAATTTATTTGCTTTTTTTCTGATCTGGCTCCATCTGACTCTTTTCTCTTGTCGGAAATTAAAATGATGGCGGGGAGGAAGCATACACAAAAAACATCAGGATTGAAGGAAAAAGTGCATTAACACCAGGAACTGCATTAAACAACAAACTGTTAACATACTTGAATAAAATTTTTATGAAAACTGAGTTAAAAAGGAAAATAAGACAGTTCTGTATTTCTCATTCTGTTCAGTGTATTGATGAAATTCAGCTTTCATTTTTCATGTCTCAAAAGCATGAATATTTTTTATATAACATTATTCTAGGACATTTCTGAGTTTTCATATTTTGATCTTACACCTCAAGTTATGCCAAAGTACCAAGTTTTGTAAAAATTGCCTGTGTAGTTCTTAAAAAAAAAAAATTGGGTCTCAAAATTTTAGCTCCTCAGTGTTAATTGAATTTGGTATATATTTCTTAATTTTTTTTTAATTAAACCTACTTGATTCTTTCTTTCATAATTTAGGTTCAATGCAAATACAATTTTTTAAATTTTAAAGATTTTTTTAATTAATTTTTATAATTTTTCAAAAAACATTTGAATGACGTATTTAATGGCATATAAATGCACTTTTTTTCCTAAATTGGTCTCAAAAAGTTACCTGCGTCTTATACGTGAAGGTCACAGGTTAACTTCAATACTGAAGGCTATTTTCGCCGTTAAGGTCTAGACACACATAACTTTTTCTACATCTGCCATAATTATTTTGCGCATGCGTGTAATATCTGTCGCTAAAAAGCAGGGCCGAAGCTCGAAGCTGATATCGAAGTATCGAAGAGGTTTGACAGTCACATTACGTCTATGAAGTCTTTCTTTACGTAGACTTTCTTTGACTCAGCTGACACACATGTCAGTATCGGTGCTACTCTTTATAAACGTGTTGGTATCGGTGCTTAAAACTATTTGTTTAAAAAAAAATACCCTGGAAAATATGACTACAGAAAACAAGGGATTAAGCTATAGAATTCAGTATAAACTAGGAATGTTAAACTATGCCAAAGTGCATGGAAACAGAGCAGCAGTCCGCTATCGTGTGGACTATTGAAACTTTTTTTCCTTGTGTGTGGCCTTCTAAATAAGGGTGCGTCTTATATGCCGTCAACTTATAAAAGTTTTGTCATCTTAAAGTAGATGCATTTCTATGCATACCTGCAATAAATTAGTTTTTAATGTATTGGCACATTTTAAAATGTGGCATATTTGTTATAAGTGATAATAATGCCACTCTTTATTATGGATGACTATGTGCTTATCCAGTTTTCCACCATTGATCAATGGGATAATGCATGAGTACCATATTTCTTTATTTTCATTTTTATTAATAATACACAATAATACATGAAAAACTAATTTTTGAATCTTTAAAAAATATTAATCAGAAGCTTAAGGATTTTTGCCATTTTATCATTTGCTATTTTACTTAACTTCGTTTTATATGCAACAAAATTAATTTTTCCAATGTCCAAATTATGCATCATAAATGCATTCACTTTCTAAGTATGGGAAATACTACATCAAAAATGTAATTACAACATCCTGTCTTCTATAGAAATGCTTAACAGTGGTAAAATTTACTAGAATGTCAGATTTTTGTCTTCTTTTCAATGTGAAGCTGAGGAAACAAATAAAAATGATTTTAAAGATGTTTTATGTCCTAAGATATTTCATGCCATTTACTGCATACTAATTTTAAACAAAACTGTTGTTTATGTTTGAAAAGGCCCCTAATGACAGTCAAAGACCCTTTGTTTCAAAGCAAAACTTATTTTTATGTAAACATAGGATTTGGAATAAATGCATTTTCAAAAGTTAAATTGTGATTTGTCAACATCTGAACTCTGATCATTAGAATCATTTTGGTGAGTTTCTGGTTTTCTTAGTTTAGAAATAATATCTTAACTTATATGCCTAAGGGAAGGAAGGTCTGCTATAAGGAAGAGTGGCTCATATTGATGTTACACATGGGAAAAATCATAAAAATATGCAACCAGCTTGTTTGCCTGTGTTGGTTTACGGGACAAATTTACCAGCAGTATTTAACTGCTTGACTGTTTGGTCCCAATCACATTATGTTTCGGCTAAGTGGGACTTGACGTCGAAAAGGACAATTCTCAGAACCCGTGCAATTCCAGGAAATACGTGTACCTAGGTTACCATTCTCATTTACTACAAAGACTTGAATGTCAAACAGTAATCGATTATCGCTCATATTGGGATGATGTGATCCTTCAGAAGCAGAACTTTCGTCGGATTAGTTGTCTTTACTCGGGACCCGAGAAATTTTTGGTGAGGTTTGAAAAAATCCCGCGTATAGAAATATAAAATCTATGAAAATACGTTTATAGAAATAAACTGAACATTCAGTGTTGAAAATGAATGTTTCTGAAAGAAAGAAACTCGAAGAAAGCAGAAAGCCATTAAAAAAAATTACATGTTCAGGTTCAGAAATACCTAAAGGTTTAAATCATATTTTGCTATAGTTTTCCCTCATTTCAATGTGGCAAATATTTCACCAAATGGGCATACCAGCGAAAAAGATAGAACACAACATTGTGAAGGATAACTCTTTTTTTTTTTTTTTTTTCACTGATTGATTGGATAAATTTCAATTGTATATCATATTATAAATGGAGAATTCAAATATGTGTCAGCTGAATTTATTGAAGGTTCATGAATTTGAAAAGGTGTATTGATATCAGCTAAAAGTATTTTCAGTCTTAAATTAATCTGTTCTTTCATCTCATGCCTTCAAAATACCTAGATTCTAAACATGTTCAGTATCATAGACAAAACCACTTCACTATTTTACTTTTACTTATAATAGATGAAACGAAAGGAAATGCCTTTTCTTATAAGAATGTCACAGAAAAATGTGGTTTCAAAAGTGAATACAGAATATATGTCAAATAGGAAAGGGAGGATGATCGTGAATATATCTGCAGAATGCCCCAAGAAAATTAATGCATTAAGAAAATAAAATATTTGCTTATTTATTTAACTGTAGGCTTTTAGTGAATTACAAATTGAAAAATTGGAAGTTATTTGAAAATATTTATATTTTTCCAAAATAAGTGTAGGTTGATAAAATTGTGTAAAGCAGAGTGATAACATTTGTATATCTTTTCTGAATGGACCAATGAAAGATATGTTGTGGTTTAGAGTATTTTTTCTTTTAGTGCAGAATGCAGCTTTTAAGCATTGTGATGAATACTAGGTGGCAAAGAATTATTTGGGAAAAAATGCTATTCAAATAAATAAAATTAAAATCAAAACATGTATTTGTATAAACATGTTTAAAGTACACAATGGGAATGAATAAATATAAATTTTAAAAATTTCAATTTGAAGAACTGTAATTAACATAAATAATGAAAATGAAATTCTGAAAAGAAAGTTTAAAAATAACAATTGTAATTAAAAATATAATATGAAGTAAAAAATATATGCAAGAAAGAAAAAATGCTACATATTTGCTTGTCACAAAATGAAAAGACAATTGAAATATGTTTCCATAAATTGAAGTTCACCAAGTGAATTATTCATAGCAAAATATTAAAAAAAGTGTACCATGGGTAAATTTCTGAATTACTGATTAAATTTCACACCAGGTTTTGTAAAATTTCGTTTTTAGGCATAATTTGAATTGTAAAATCAAAATATGAAAAAAAAAAAGTATTTGCATGATAATGAATGCCAGAAATTAAAAGAAGTGTTTTGACCTGGAAAAAGCTCATTAAATTTCCTTCTTAAGAATGTTTTTAAATCAGTTTCATTTGTATGTTACTAGACTACGTTATGTTTTGTTCATTAAGTGAAATTGAGTTTATAAAGGCCAAAATGCAGCAAAATCATAAAAATGGCTTTCAAATGTCCCTTGTGATATCTTGATTTTTTTCAATATATTTGATCAAATTGCTGTTATTGTCAGCACAATCACTCTCTCTGCTCTTTTAAGCATGGAAATTGACTTAAATCCCCATTTTCTGAGAGATGAACTGTTTTAATTTCAACTGAACTGATGCTATCTACTAAACTATGAAATGTTTGTAGTTTTAAATTTAGATCATTGGGATGGCTGGTAATAACAACTAAAACTGACAAATAAAATATCCTCTTTGTCAAGTTATACGATTCTTTTATCAGGTAGTCCTTTTTTTTTTTTTTTTTTTTTTTTTTTTTTTTTTTTGTGTGTGTGTGTGTGTGTAAAAAAATTAGAAACGGCATTTTTCAATTTCTGAAATCTGTTCAGAACCTGCCCTCTAGAAATGTTTTGGCACACAGTACTTCATGGTGTATAATGCAACGGTATTTTACTATAGAATGATTCAAACAATTTTCAAGTGAAGTTACAGTGCCATTGACTATCATTGATCAGTACATAAACTGATGAGTTTGCTACATTCTAATTTTAGACTTTCTAAGTATAATTTTACTTTTTCACTTGTGTCTGATCTCTTTTTACCTTGAAATGTCTCCAGACTGGCAAGCTGGAGACAAGTCATTAAATTTATCATAAATTTCTCTTATAAAAATGTTTAACTTTGCAACATCAGATATGTCTGTTGATTCATATAAAGCTAGAGAAAAGAATGTGCAAGAAAGGAAAAGGTCTGCCAGTTACTGGGATACATTTTTATCCTAAGAGAGTTTGTCAATATGTCTTGTAACTGTCTGCCTTGATATAGCAATTTTGTTTGTCTTTATTATCAAGATGTGCAATTATTTGAAGACAAGACTTGTCTTCTCGATCAAAAAGATGTTTTTTTTCTTTTACTTTTTTTGCCGATGCTAAAGGAATTTCATTTGATGCTTTTATGATTAATAACATGTTTTATTAATTTATTGAACTTTTTTATGGAAAAGGATGTGATTATTATTAATTCAACTTCATTTCTATTTATCTTGCTTGTTAATTTCTTGAATGTTATTTACTAATTATTATTATTTTTTTTTGGACAAATGTGTAGAATTGCTGAAGTTACGTGGCAAGGAAAGAACATCATTGTTATGAATCAAGTTACTATTTCACCTCCGTATCGACCAGAAAATTGCAAACCCATAGGAAAAGGGGATGGAGATGCAGTAAATCATGTTCGTCGAATTGTAAGTCCTCTTGTTTGTGGTTGCATTTCCCTTATTTTTCTGCAAAATTACTATGCTCTCTTACAAAACTTAATGTTAAAAATTTATTTTTTAATTCTGTTACCATATTTAGTTAAATATTAGTGTTCCTGAAATAGATAGCATTTCATTTAAATTACTATTTTCTGGGATCCCGAAATACATATGTGTTTTTGATCACTTAGAGATTATGCTTTTACCCTTTTTCAGTGCACTTATCAGTTATCTGCTGTGCCTGGTTTAGTTTTTTTCAGTTTTAACATTGAATATTTTTATGCAATCTAAGTTATTTTACATTTAAATGCTGTATCTTTTATTTCAGTTGGAAAAATATTTCAAAGATCAAGCCCAAGCACAGCCCAGTCAATCACAGCAGACTCAATCTAGGCCTCATCTACAATAGAAAATATAAATATTAGTTAAATGAGATTTCACATTTTGTTCTGGATATTCTAGCAAGGAAAACAAAATTTGGAATTTTGTCTCATTTAAAGAAAAAAAGAAAAAGGGTTAAGTGAAAAGTGCATTTGGAGTATATTGAAGTGGTTACCTATAATTTAGTCATCTTAAGTTATTTTTTATACCTTTTTGAATTTCATTTTTTGTGAAAAGTCAAACAAGCAATAAAATGTGCTTGATTAAACCTAGTGGTATTTCAGTACCTTAAATACTTTATTTTTAAAATTTAGCACAAACATGCTCAATTATGCACAAGAGAAATGATGTATGTTTTTAAGTGTATTGTGATATTTGTCTTTATTTTGTGTGAAAAGGATGCTTTCAGTTAAAATACTTAATGTGAAATCATTTTGGATATTCAAATTACTGAAAGAAATTTTGAGCATGTATTCTTTTTTAAATGAATCAGTGTGCCCATAAGCAAATTAATCTTTGTAATGATAATAATTGCATAAGTATGTAGCTGTAATAAAGTAGCTTTTTTTTTAATATCAATAAAAAATAATCATGTCTTAGATAAAATGTAATCATTCACAAGTAGATATTTGTAAACATTAATTTTTAAGTTTTTTTTTTTTTTTTTCTGTGCTTTGTATTCTATGAGAGTAGTCGCTTATTCCATAAAATGCATAATAAATGTATTCTCAAAATCAGATCGAATGTTTTTGAATACTAACTTTTTTTATAAATTTAGTAGGATAAAACAATTTACCTCTATTTTGGGTGTTTTTACTACAATTTGTACCGACAGAATTATTTTATATATTGTTATTTATTGTTCATGTTAATTGACAAAAAATATTTAATGACATACACATGTAATTGCTGTTTCAAGACATAGACCTCATGTTGTGTAATTTCACACTGTTAGGAAAACTTATTACTTGTTGCATTTAAAATGTGATCAAAGTATGTTGGTTTAGTCATGTTTTGTCAGATATGTAGTCTGTGCAATACATTGTCATAGACTGTTGATGTTTCACAATTAGGTACATTAATGCTAAAAAATTCAACATCTTTTATCTATTAATGGAGACTGTATGTTCTTTCTAATTATGGATTTGTACAAGTTATTTAAAATTGAAAAATGTGAATGTGTCTCCTTTTTCATGATATTTGTATTGATTTTTTAAGCTATGTGCAAGAAGCTCAGCAACAGTACAAAGATAAATATGCAAGTTCTTTTATTGTTCTCCCATCACTTCCAAGTTATTCCATCAGAAATGCCTTGATAGTGTTTGTAGTTATTATGTCTTTTTCCCTAGTTGTATAGGTTTACTAAAAGGTTAGCCACTTCAATATACATATTACTTTTTAAAAAATTGTATTATAATTTTTCGTGTAGAAATAAAAGATAATCCATATCTGATATGTTGAATTGATTTATAAGTATTGCTAATGTGTCAAGAACTGTTTCTATCAAATTTGGGAAATTTTGTTTATACCTTCTCATTTTTGAGATGTGTAAACAAATGTATGAAACAATTTTCCTGTCTGAAAGATTTGTTTGTAGGAAACAGTTCTGACTGTACACTAATGTTATTTGTTTTCAGATTTCTGTTGTTTTATTATTAATTATAACTGATAACCTATGTGATATTTCTCTCTGTGCAGGCACATTAGCAGTATTTACATTGACATTACATATCTTTTATATTTTATGTTCATAAATGCAAGTCCTAGAAATCTCAGAGCAGCTGAATGTCTGTTTGCTTTATTAAGTTATAAAAACATGTTCAGGCAAGGAAAAATAAAATTTTCTTCAAATATCCATTTATGGGTTATGTTATTTTTATATATTTATTAGCAAAATTCCTGTCTGAAATATTATATTTTTTATCTTTTATGACATGCATGTGAATTTTTTATAAAAAGAAAATGGTAAAACTTGATCATATTCAAAGTGGTATAATATTTTATTTAGTATTATATATTTTAGGTTGTAATTGCTTATTAGCACATATCTATAATTATATAAAAATATATTTTCATTAATTCTGTAAAATAAAGCATTAGGTAGGGATTTAGAAAGAAGTTTTTCTTATTAACATAGCTGAAACAAAGATGAGTAAAATGAGGTACTTGCCTTGTGCATCAACTTAATATTTGGTGCAAATTATCATAATATCTGGTGTGGTGGTGACTGCATACTAGTAACTGGTGTTAGTTACGTTTACGTTAGTTTGTGTTTAAGCTTCATATTGAACTAAACTACTACTATATTCCTATTTGTGCAGTAATTTGTTACATAAAAATGTGACTTGGCTAAATTAATTAATATGGTATTTGACTTAAAATTGTCAAAAAACTGGCAGTTCTAAGTAACATAAATGCTAATTTTCAGTCGGTGCATTAAAATGTATTTACCTTTTAGTGTCTACCCATAGTCAGCATCAGTAATATAGACCAGCAAGTACCAGAAAGATCTACCTTGAAATAAACCAGTTCCATTCAGTTATCACTGCATCTAATATTTTTCAAAATAAGTGGTCTCATAATTTGTATAAAATGTAAATAATCTCTACTGAACTGATGTAGTAGGAAAAAGTACATACTTAATATTAGTCACCATTTCATTGTGACAAATTTATTTAATTCTTCAAGTTTAAAAGCAACTAGTTCCTTTACCATTTTTATTTTACCTTATTATTTACTCCTCGAAAGACATAGAACTCTTGAATTTATTCATAAAATAACCAAATTTAACTCAGGCTGAAATAAAGAATTAATATTTTTAAAAACTAAATATTATGTTGAATAAGTGTATGTTACATATATATCAAATAATTTGGAACTTGTTGACATGGAGATGCATATGGTAGTAATTCCAAGTTCAAGATATTAAGGCAACATTTTTAAGCCAACACAGGTAAAGTGGTGCTATAAAAATGCCTGTTCTTGAAGATTTTGCACATTTTTAAAATTTTGTAAGAAGGGAAGCAGCAATAGCAATTTAGCTGCACTAAACATTAGAGAGCAAATGTAATGTATTTGGTTCACTTTTGATTGGTTAATAATTTTAGAATTTTTTGCATCGTAAGAATCGTACCGTGACAGTTAATTTTGAAATGAGACAGTTTAGAGAGATTTATTGTAAGCTGTTAATATTTTTAGAGTAGGAAAGGGAAATACTGAAATTAAAATAGAAGGGGTTAAAATCATTCGTAATAATATTTAATAAATTAAGGGACTTAATAGCCAAAAAATTGATGAAATTACCCATTTTCCAATTTTTGTTAAAAGTATACTTTAATGCGTCTATTACACTGAGAAGAAATTGTGAAGCTATCTGATGATAATAAATAGCATTGTAAGGCTTTTAAAAATTCTGACAGCCCTTTAAATGTCACAACCACCTTAGTGTTAATTTTTTTTACTTCTTAATTGCCTTAGTTCTTTGCTAAAAATCTCCGTAGAGCATAATGACTGCGACTATCGGGAAATTCTGTTTATATGCATTATCTGATTTATTTTAAATACTCTGGCAAGTATTTAAAATAAGTTTGGGAAAAAATTCTTTTTTCACTTTTAAATTTATAGGAATCTTATCTCATCATTTTTATCAACAGTTTTCTATGTAATCAGTCAATTTTTTTATGTCTCTTCAAAAAAGACAGTTATTTGTGTTTATGAACAGAAAAAGGTGGTGGTGTAATGAAAGTCATCAAGATTTTTGATTAGTATTATTGAAAATCATGCTATCAAATATTAAATTCTCTAATTAATTAAAATACTCCTAAATTAATTAAAAAGGTAATTTATATATGAGAATAAAATGCTAAAAGAATAGAAAGAATCACTGATGCTGCTGGGAAGTTTTAAATAAAAAGCTCCTGCTGCTCAAATTTCAACCGATTCTTTTAAAAAAAAAAAAAAAAAATTAAATTAATATTGATACAGATAAAAAATGTGAAGGAAAAAGAAACCTACTTAGATTTCTTCATTTTTCTTATAGTATTCCCAGTCAGATAACAGGGTTTGAATGGTCCTTAATTTCAGCCAAAGCTGGCAAAAGGTCCTTAACTCATTAACTGCCAAAACTACAAGGAATGATTCTTTTCTCATGAAAATAATAACAAATATTAAATTAAGCATTTATAACATAAATATACATTGAAAATAAAAAAAAAAATTTCTTACCTGTGGAAAAAGCGAGTGTTGCGTTTGCGCAACGTCAGCGGAATAAGATTACCGATGTTTAGTGAGTAGGATTGTACTCGTGTGATGTTTCTTTTGAGTGGAGCGCAGGATTATTTTTTAGCTGTATAACGTTTTATAAATCTACAAATCACATTACTTGTAATTAATTTAATATTAAAATATACATTGTATTTCTTTTACAAATACAGATTATTTCATTTGCTGATTACAATCATGATGTAAAAGCTACATTACATACTTTGCATCTATAAACAGTCTGGCTATGGTACTCTTTACAACAAAGTCTTTTGTTATCAACGGACTTTACGATAAAATGTCTACCATCTCCATGCAGTGGTTTTTGAATGCTGAATTTACTAGGTCTTTCTGTTGCTGATCTATTTCTAGTTAATTCTTCACTCTCAATAGGAGTTTGCAAAAGGAATAATGCATTCTGGCGTCTGAAATCTAAAAGGGTAATTTCTGGTAGTAAAATGTGGTGATATTTAGTAAGTTTAGATACGGTCTCATATAATTTATCAGTATTGCCAATTTGACTATTGTCAAATGCAAATTCTGCTTCATATTCCTGTACTGCAAACGTGATATCAATTCTCGTACAACAGGAACAGACATGTCCTTAGCAAAAGACCAATACATTTTTTTTCTTGGGGTAAAGAATGATATCCTGTAAGCAAATAATATTCCAATAAAACTTCTCATATAGGCTTCAGATGCAATAAATTGTGGACTTTTTTTTTCCCCTGCTGAGCGTATATATTTGTTTGTTCAACGAGAAGAGAGTAAATGTCTAAACCAAAAAGAAGATCGAAAATCTGTGCACTAGTTTTACCTTGTGTTTTGTCTTTTTAAATTTCTCTTCTATCTCTTTCTTCATTTTCTTTCTGACACATAACTAACAGTTCCTTTTTTATCCACTTCAAGATTTCAGTCTTCTGTTTTTAAACTTTTTAGTATGACTATAACTGCTTTTAGAAGGCTGAAACTTACTTCTTACGTGAATTTCAACTTCCCCAGCAGTATCATTTGGTAAAATATCTGTTGATAGCAATTGGTAGTTGTGGACTGTATATTAGTTCATGAAAGTCAAGTTGAGAAACTTAACAGCATTTATTTTCTTTCAATGCCGCTTAAACGGGCAAAGAGTGAGTAAGGAACAATTAACAATTGACTGCAGCTTTGTTCGGGCAGAGGAGCGGAGACTCGGTGTGGACCGAGTGCATCCCTGTCGCTTACTGATTAGTACTGGGCTCTCGCCACTAACATTACGTGGCGCTGCAAATATTAAGCCAGCACAAATAGACATAAATATTCTAACCGAGACGGAACATTCCGCCCGGCATTGAAATTTGATACAAAAATTTCAATTAATTAATTAGTGACAAATCACAATATTTCAATCTGATAATCACATAAATAATTGTCAGATTACTACAGATCTAAAACTGAATTATGGAGTTTAAGAACCTTAAATATTGAAAAATAGTAATTATGCAAACAATATATACTAAGTTGACATAAAAAGTGTTACAATACACATGCATTTCAAAATAAGCCATACAAATCCTTTAAACATATAATCATTATTAAATCTTGTAATGTATAAACTGATTTCCACAAATATATATAAAGTCAGTAGAAATTTGAATATACATTGGCAATAAACAGATCTTTGATATAGATTTAGTGCAGATTCCTGAAGCAGTTTTAACTTTAGCTACACTTACCTTACCCATCTGTACCAGGGATTGTCTCTAAAATTCTACCTAAGGCCCAATGGCAAGGCGGCAAATTCTCATCCTTAAGTAAAACCATTACACCTGTTTCTACATTGGATTTCTGAAACTGCCATTTATTGCGCTGTTGCAAGTGATTGAGGTAATCTGTTTGCCAACGCTTCCATATTAATTGAACAAATTTTGTTGTTCGCTGCCACCTTGATAACCTATTATCAGTGATTTCAATAAGTTCAGGCTCTGGTATAGACGTGGTTGGACGACCGACTAAAAAATGTCCTGGCGTTAAAAACTTCAAATTCATTAATATCATTAGACATAGGGGTTAACGGGCGTGAATTTAAAATTCCTTCAATCTGAGTAATGATTGTAAGAAATTCTTCCATCGTAATCTTAGTACTTCCCATAGTTCTTCTAAGATGGTATTTAAAGGATTTAACTCCCGCTTCCCACAGTCCACCAAAATTCGGTGATCTAGGGGGAATTAATTTCCAGATTATAGATTCTGAGGTGAAATAGCTGGATAACGTCTCATCTGGTTTTCTAATCAATTTCTGTAAACGCTTTAACTCTGTATGAGCCCCCTTAAAATTTGTGGCATTATCTGTAATGATGGAAGAGATTTTCCCTCTTCTCGCACAAAATCGCTTAAGAGCTGCTATAAAGGCTTCAGACGTCAAGTCTGAAGCCTTTATAGCAACTACTCCAAATGGATTGCCTTTGTGGAACAAACATATAAATACAGCAACATAGATTTTAGGAAAAATGCCCTTACGTTGACCCTTGAATTGTACATGAAATGGTCCGCAAAAGTCAACGCCACAATTAAGAAAAGGGTGAAGTCGGAGTTATACGCTCAGTGGGAAGATTACCCATGACCTGACTTGCTGCAATTGGTTTGTTTTTAAAACAAATCACACAAGCATGAACTATCTTACGAGCCAAGCCCTTGCCGTGAATGTGCCAATATTTCAAACGCACCTGATGAAGTAAACCCTGCGCTCCAATATGTAGGTACTTCTTATGAAAATATTCAAAATACAGTAACTCTATGAGTAGGAGGCAAAATTAACTGGTGTTTACAATCAAGTAATAAATTTGAGTTTTTTAATCTTCCTCCAACTCTTAAAAGAGAATTCTCATCTAGAAAAGGGTCAAGACCTTTTAACTTACTTTGTGCAGGAATAGGTTTATCTCGTCGAAGAGCTGTAATTTCCGAATTAAAGGCAGTTAATTGGGCATGCCGTATAAGAAACTCCTCAACCTTTTTCATCTCATCTATAGTTAAATATCTCTGAATCTTATCCTGGGATTTACAATTTAAGATAAACCTGAAAATAAAACTGAGAATTCTGATTAGCTTAGGAAAATTATTGGAAAGTTTTAAAAAAAGAGTCTATAAAATGTTCATTCATTGTCAAAGTCAGAACTGGGATTGATGATTGTTTCAGTTCTTTCTCATACTCCTCGTCCGACGAATAAGAAATGCATTCTGGAAATGGAAGTTGCTGATTGAGGAACTCAGGACCTGACCACCACAAGGAATTAGCCAAAAGTTCACTAGTGTCTGCTCCTTGGGATATTATATCCGCTGGATTTTCCTTTGAGGCAACATGACCCCATTTGAATTGGTGACTTCAAGTTTTGAATTTCAGCAATTTCGATTGCTCACAAAAGTTTTGAGCTTGTTTTGCAGGCAGGCGTTTATTCCATGCTAGAACAATAGTAGAATCACACCACAAATAAACACCATCGATACTTAGCTGCAGAGCTGTTATTACCTTTGACACAAGTCTACACAGAAGTAATGCTCCACACAATTCGAGACGTGGAATTGTAACAGGCTTTATTGGAGAAACTGAATTTACTACAAAGGAGATTGGAATAATTCATTCCATCAGTGATAATACAACAGATGTAAATAGCCACACCATAAGCTTTTTCCGAAGTGTCCAAGAACCCATGAATCTCAGTTCTAATGGAATGTTCAGTTAAAACATATCTGGGAATATTCAGTTGCTTTAACTGAAACTGGGAAATGAATTTTTTCCATTCTCACAACTCCTTGGGAAGTAATTCCTCATTCCAGTCCAGTTTCAGCAACCATAGTCTCTGTGCATGAATATTTTTGCCCTCGCTACTATGGGTCTGATGAGACCCAAGGGCTCAAAAAGCTTAGCTATTTCAGATAACACCAGACGTTTAGTAAAACTATCTTGATTGTTCACAGCTGTTTTGAAAGTTAAGTGATCATCCTTCGGTTTCGAGAGCATTCCTAGCATCTTCACTATACTTTCTTGAGACTCAAAGGAATATTCCTTTGTTGAAATATCATGCAGTAGCTCAAGATGACTGGACACCCATTTATGTAGCTCTATACCTCCACGACGAAGCATTTGCACTAATTCAGACTGAAGCTCCTTTGCTTCTTCTAAAGTATTTCCTCCTGTCAGGATATCATCCATATAAAAATCCGTAGATGTGACAGCAGCCGCCCTGGGAAAATAGTCCTGTTCGTCAGCTGCCAATGCCTTTAAGGTTCTCATGGCTAAGAACGGATGCGCTAGTAGTACCTGTATGTTAACCATACGTACATAACCTATAAACACTTGAACTGAGGCCTTCGCGGCTTGGCTTCCAAACCATTCTGCTGTAAATTTCTTTGTGATGGATGTATTTGTCGATACATCTGCTTAATATCGGCACTAAAGGCAAATCGATGTTTTCTAAACCTGGAAACTATAGAAAAAAGATCTTCCTGAATTGTGCCTCCGTTCAATAAAATTGAATTTAGCGAATAGCCACTGGATGATTTACACGATGCATCGAAAACAACTCTTAATCGAGTTGAAGTTTTCTCCGGGCGATAAACTGCGTGATGGGGAATGTAGTAACAAGTGTCACAGTTATCCACGGGCATAACAGGTTCCATGTGATTTAAGCTTAAATATTCGTTCATAAATTCCTTATACAAATTAGCCATAGTTTTATTAGAATCAAGACGATTCCAAATTGTATTCAGTCTCTTAATAGCAATTTCTTTAGATGAACCCAGCATAGAAGTAGCATCATCCTTCATAGGTAATTTTACTATGTATCTACCTGTTTTATCACGCGAGTATGTTTCATTAAAATGCCTTTCGCAAAATATCTCTTCTTCATTCTTTACGACTTCCTTACCATCTCCCGAGAAGGATTCTAATCGGAAAAACTTCTTAATCGCATTATCGAGACTTGATTCCTTTATCAAATAACAATAGGATTGATTATTAACAGCAGGTAGAACCCCTGTCATTAAATAACCAAATTCTGTGTTTTGCAATATTATGTTTCCATTCAGCGTTTGAACTCTACTTTCCCTCAAGATGTTAAAGAATAGTTCATTTCCTATCAATATATTGATCTTACCAGGTGTATAGAAGTTAGGATCTGCTAATTTAATGTCATGCGGTATCGTTAAATTAGAAATATCCAGTTTTGTCGAAGGAATTACATCTGTTATTTTTGGAATAATACATAATTCTAAATTGTGAGAAAAAGTCTCTGTTTCGTTCGAAATATGGGCTAAAATCTTCGCTTTGATTGAATGAGCTGAACCACTTATTCCCGAAATGTGCGTTCGGATGGGTTTAGTTTTCAAACCCAAAAATTCTGCGCATTCTTTGGTGATGAGGCTCATTTGCGAACCGCAGTCCAGTAAGGCTCGTATTCTGCAGCGCTGCCCGAACACATTCGTCACATAAATAACCATACTCAGTAAGACAGAGTTTCCCGCACCGGAAATAGATGCAAGACTATGTACTGCTTGCTGTATATTGTCACTCGAAGCTTCTTCGGAGGGGTTTGTTTCCCCTGGTTTGAGGAAAGCAGGGAGTGGCCGTTGGACTCTGAGGGTCATTGTCCATATGGAGAAGGGAATGATGTTTTCGGAAACAGTGGCTGCACGAAAAAAAAGTTTGAATTGCATTCTCCGGAATGGATTTTTTAGGACAATTCACACATAATTTTTTATTTTTGACGATAATGAGCCTATTTCCAACATTCATTTGTTTGAACGCACTACATTTAAAGAGGGCATGGTTTCCTTTACAATGGATACATTTTTTTTGAGTTGGAAAGAATAGAATTTATAACAAAACCTTTTGGTTTTGCACTGATACTGGGTTTAGGAGGAAATTTGATAGGCATATTTTTATGAATGCTTTCTAGTACCAAAGTTCAGTTTTCAAGAAAATTTAAAAATCCATCGAGTAATGGAACATCTTTAGATTTTAAGGTAAGCTCAAATTGCTTCCGGGTTTCCTTGTCAATTTTCTGAAGGAGAATGTTTATTAAAATTGCGTTAGATAGCCCATCAAGATTGTACTCTAACGTTTTTAAGGCGCGTAGATTGCGTTTGGTATGATGTAATAATCGGCGAAGTTCCTTAGGTGATTCCTGCTGAATTTTTTCTTGATTCAAAATATTTTGAATATGACTATCCACTATCGCTCGTTTATTTTCATATCTTAATTCTAAAGCTTGAAACAGTGACTGATATGTAATCTTCGCTAATTCTCGATATTTTTGCTTCTCCTTTAAGAGCAGCCTTTAAATAATAAAGTTTTTGTGTTTCAGTTAATTTCTCATTTTCAGCAATTAAGGATATGAATTGGCATTTAAAATCATGAAATTCTTCATATTTTCCCGAGAATTGAGGTAAAGGTATTTCAGGCAATTTAACATTAATATTTTCAACAGTATTTTTACGTACTGGTAATGCATTAACTTTTGATTTTAATTTTGAAAGGAGGTATTTGAGACTTACCTCCATTTTCTCCAGATCGTCCTCCAGTCCTTCAATAATCTCACAGGATTCCTCTATGGAGACGTCTGCTGGTAGATTGAAGTACCGCTGTTTTAATTCATCCAAGGATCGCTTTATTCCTGATAGTGATTGCAATTTCATTTCTAAAAATGATTCACTTTCTTCATTTTCGACGAAGTCACGCAGAGAATGTTCCAGTTTTGTGACTTTTGCTTTCAGACAACCGCGTTGCCTATTCAAAATTACATTATCCATAGTTGCTGTTCTTTCTCCGGGTCGGTTAGGACCAAAATGTTGATAGCAATTGGTAGTTGTGGACTGTATATTAATTCATGAAATTCAAGTTGAGAAACTTAATAACATTTATTTTCTTTCAATGCCGCTTAAACGGGCAAAGAGTGAGCAAGGAACAATTAACAATTGACTGCCGCTTTGTTCGGGCAGAGGAGCCGAGACTCGGTGTGGACCGAGTGCATCCCTATCGCTTACTGATTAGTACTGGGCTCTCGCCACTAACATTACGTGGCGCTGCAAACATTAAGCCAGTACAAATAGACATAAATATTCTAACCGAGACGGAACAATATCATTATCATTATTTAAAACATTGCCATTCCTTTCTTCTTCGTCACTAGCCTCTGCAATTTCTGGGGGAACAACAACAATATCAGTTTCATTCTGGTCATTATTAACATTATCATCATCTGTTTCTTCATCAAAAAATCTTTGAGGGGCTTCTTCTAATGTAAGATACCTCGTTCTAGGCATTTTTAAACAATCAGAACATCGAAAGGAATGAGTGAAAAAAGGAGATTGACTACCCGTTTCCCGCTGACGTTGCGTCAACGCAACATCTGTTTTCTCTTCCTTCCCAACACAAATATAAACATGTGACTGATGTAATGTTCTGAGAAATGGTGACATTGACTGAAAATAGATCACTCATAAAGACAGCGATTCTTTCGTTAAATATTTTCAGCAAAAATACCCGGTCGAAAATTTTGCTTAAAGTATGAGATTAATTATTATAAACAAAATGATTGTGAAGGCAAATATTTTTTTTTACAGAATAATCTTCATAATTTCCCTGCACAAAATCATCTGCTGGTAAAAATATCTTACGTAGTTATATTATATATACGCATTTATTTTGACCGTTGCGTCAACGCATCACCAGCGGCTAATGGGTTAATTTTACTCATCTGATATTTCTGTCTTTTTTTTACAACTGTCATTTTGTGTATGAAGTCAAATTTTGGAAGAAATAGTTTTGGGCTATGCATTGACAAATATGTATTTGGATAGGTTAACATTTAATTCTTTTGAAATTATGCAGTGCTAAATTTCGCAGCTTATCAACATTTTGGAAATTTAAAGATCAGTTGGTACACAAAATTTTTTATTTGGAGATTTGCAAAATTTTGACAATTTTTCTTACATAATAACATTTATAATTATCATAAAAGTAATGAGAATGTATTAAAATTATATCTGAAATAGCATTAAAGCATTTTTATTTTCTCCTGCCATATTTTAAAGTGATATTTTTTTTTCATTTTGAAGATTTAAATATATTTTGATTCTGAAAATAAACAGGATAATAAATGCTATAAAGCGCACTTTCCGAAAAACTTTTTAGAAGAAACAAAAATGCTACTGTAATTATATAAAAATTGATTTTATTTGTCCTTTATATTTTTTTATACTAATGATCTACTAATACATGATGATTTTTAAGTTTTCCCCTATGTAATTTTTTCAGAATATTTAAATGTGTATCAGTTTTCTCTTGAAAATTCAGTTTGCACTTCTCTTTTCTGATTTTTTTTTTTTTGAGTAATCTTCTGGCATTTTTTGCTGTTACAGATTTGGTAAGGATATATATATATATATATATATATATTTTTGATTTTAGACCTTGCACCTTGAAAGATATAACGTTTAGATTTATAGATTATTATTTTGAAGGCAAGATTTATAAACCTACAATTTCCAGTGAACAAAACGTGTTTTCAAGATATTAACATAAAATAGACTTATTTTGTAAGAATTTTGTGATCAATCATTGAAGAAATTTCGGAAGAGCTGTGAAAACACTTTGAATTTTCTCCTTTTGATCCCAGAAGTCTGTCATTTAACATGTTTATTTTCTCTGTATTTTCTTATTTTTCAACTTGAAGCAATTAAGGAAACTGAAAACCAACACTTTATTAAAAGATTCATCATATATGTCTCGGTACAACATACATGCCTCAGTACTTGACCTAAATTCTAAAAGATTTGCACTAAATTTTCTTGCTTGGTACTTATTTAAATTCTAAAAATTCCGGCAAACTGGCTTTGGTGCTGGCCTTGATTTTATATCATTTCCCATATTTACTCTCAATACTTGCATTAAAAGAAATTAAATTAACAGTTTCGTATGTGCATTCTCGGTAAAAGTTTTCATTAGAGTAACATAAATCTTAAATTAAATCTGAAATGAATAGGAAATTCATTGAAAAAGAAATTGATTTTATAAAGAGGAAGTAAATTATTCTTTAGAGCTACTAATTCAACAGAGAAGGAGATTAAACAGAGACTAGTGGGAACATTGATTTGTTTAGTAAAGCAAACTGAAAAGATGTTAAAAAAAACTGTTGTAAATTAGCTAAAATATCTGAAAAATTTTCAAATAAAAAATATGCCTAACATTTTATTGTTTTTGCTCAAAACATAAATGTTAATGTGTACTTAATATCATTTTAGAATCAATATAATAAATTATAACTGCTGTTAAATGTTTAATGCTGTTTTGACAGGTATTTAGAAATTAATTGTAATTGTAAAGATGCAGATCTATTGTGATTAAGGGTATCTAGCAGTGTAATTTAATTATTGGTAACTAATTACACTTAGAAGTTATCTTTATATGTTAAGGAGACTTATCTTTTTTTCTTTAATCCTTATTGTGAATGCAAGATACACTACAAAATTAAAAGTTAACATAAAACTTTATTCCTTACAGCTAATGAGACTTAAAAGATAATACAAAACAACCTATTATCAGTGGTTTATTGGAACTTTATATTAAGTATTGTATATTAACTGGGTTATAACTCCAACAAATCTTGAAGTTACGACTTTGACTGGGTTAGATAACGTGGAGCAAAATTTAACATTTGCAATCATACCAATGTCAGATGTTCACATCTGTTCTGATCAGTCGTTTTGCGTCTGTTAAGCATTGGACCAAGCAACTATGTGATAAAATAAGGCACAGAAGGAATTGGTATAAAGCTAACTAAATAAAATTTAAATGAAAAGCTACTAGTCTTCTGTAAAATATTTAACTTATTATAAGTGTAAAATATGAATATTTCAAGAAATTTTGTGATTCTAATTACTTGAAAAAAAAATCTGTGAAGTTAGTTTTATTCTTGAATTTTTTATAATTAAGATAAATATTAGATTTTGTATAATAATAATAATGCATCCTACTTACAGGTTTATTAGATACTTATTTACTTAGACATATTTTTCTTACAAATTACAAAAGTGAAGTTCGGATGGAGATAATTGCTTTAATTTATTCAGCTCCTATTTGATTTTCTTTCATTGATGTTCCTTAAAAGTACTTAATTTTCGTGTGCAGAAATGTGTACGAACCCTGGATTCCAGATAAGAGCTCGTAATTCATATTCCAATTGAACAATAATAGGTTTAGTTATAATATATATGCATATACACTGGTCATAAGAATTAAAGGATAATGACAAAAATAAAACATAACTGATACTTAAAAGTAATTAATAGAAGTTTTTACAAAAGCATTAGTTAACATAAATTGCAATATTTGAAAGTTAATTATTTGCAAAATTTTGAAATTGAGGCCAAATTTATAGAAATTAAGAAATGATGGAAAAATTAAGTCAGCTCTTGTGGAAAAAAAAATTTCTTTAACATGGTATATAGTCATTTTGGACAAATATGCATATCTCACATCTTGATTTCATAGACTTTACCAAAGTATTGATCACGTCTTGTGGAATCAACACACCACTCTTGTAAAGTGCACTTTTCAGTTCCTGTAGGGTCTGAGGAGGAGTTTG